ATATGAAGTATCCCCCAAAGGTTCAAGTGTTGAGGGTTTAATCTCTGTCTGTGTGCATGCACACATGCCTGCTAGTATTAAACTTGAATTTAATGCTTCACGCTGTCAGCTTTTCTGCTCAGGCTGACTTTTTTCTATCACTTATGGCATACCTCCACTTCTGGCTTTTTTACTGGTTAATTGGAAATAAGGGTCTCATTGACTTTCTTGCCTGAGCTATGATCCTCAGATCTGAACTTCTTGAGTAGCTAGGATCACAAGCATGACCCCCAGTCCCTCAGGAGAAGGCTTAGTCTTCAGTTTATTTATTTTTGTGTGCCAGTCTTGGGGTTTAAACTCAGGGCCTAGGCACTGTCCCTGAGATTTTTTTCTCAAGGGCAGTGTTCTACTTCTTGAGCCACAGCTGCACCTCTAGTTTTTTGGTACTTAATTGGAGATAAGAGCCTCATAGGGTTTCCTCTCTGGGCTGGCTTTGAACCATTATCTCAGCTTCCTGAGTCGGATTATAGGTATGAACCACCAGCACCAGACTTGGAAGGGTTTAGTCTTAAAGCTTGGTAGAACTAATCATTAACAGATAATTGGATTATGAAAAAAAGACTGGTGTATAGCTCAAGTGGTAGAGCACCTGTCTATCAAGCTTGAGACCCTGTGTTCAAAGCTAGTATCATCAACTTCTCCAAAATATCACCCCAAACAAAAATCAACTATACCTAAATCTAACCTAGTACTTCACTGTGCTGGGCAATATTTCAAATACTTACATAGAGTATACTATAGAGAATGTATTATCTTCATAACCATCTATGAAGGGAGATGCTATGCTTCAATCCCAGCAGTCTGACTTCAGAGCCTTCAAGCTCGTGTGTGTAACATGGTACATTTTCCAAGCTAATGACAAATCTTAGTATTTTTCAATTTGCCAAGTCTTTAATCAATCCTTATTTACTGTTAACTTATGGAAAACTTTTTTTTGTCTATCTTTTTTTTTGGGGGGGGGGGTCCAGTCGTGGGGCCTGAATTCTAGGCCTGGGCGCTGTCCCTCAGCTCTTCAGCTCAAGGCTAGCACGCTACCACTTGAGCCATAGCACCACTTCTGGCTTTTTTTCTGCTTATGTGGTGCTGAGGAATCGAACCCAGGGCCTCATGCATCAAGGCAAGCTTGCTCTACCACTGAGCCACCTTCCCAGCCCTGCCTGTCTATCTTGTCTGTCACAGTGTCTTGGTATGTAGCCAAGATTGCCTGAACTCACAATCTTCTTTTAGCTTCCCAGGTGCTGAGAATATAGGCATGCAACTACACACCTGACTCTGACTACAACAGGTTTGCCTAATTAGTGTTACAACTGCCTACTCATTGCCTGCCCATCAGCTGGAGAAAAAAAAGCACAAGCAGCTGAGTGTTCTCAGTGTAAATCCATGACCACTCACTGTAGGAGTTCCTTAGTAGTTTCTGGAAACCTTATGATGTTACCTAGTTAGTTGGCTCTCCTTAACTCAGACACATGTAGACTCTCTTGCCTCTCCCTCCATTACTTTCAGTTAATGACTATGTTAACTGACTAAACAGCTATGACAAAGAGACTTCAGAATGCTAAGGCTCTAACTCAACAGAGGTTTACATGTCACTCACAGAATTGGTTGTTCCAGGTCAGTGGGCAGCTCTCCTCTCATGCAGGAACAGGCAACTTCTTTCTGTGGCTCTGCCACTCCTCAGGGACTTACAGTAATCTGCATAATCAAAAGAAAGGCTCATGTCCAGGTCTAGCCTGCAGAAAGGAAACACACACATGAAGGAGGCATGTGTACTGTGAAGGCCCTGGCCTTGCAGTGGCAGCCACAGTTCTTGCTCTTACTTGATCACACTGTCTAAAAGGTTGCATTCAGAGAAGGAGAAATAAAAACTGGAGAATAATTAGCCATATGCCAAAATACCCTTGTTCCCTACTTCATTAAGAAAATAAAAGTATAAAAGAACTATGTATTTACATTTTGTGTGTGTGTGTGTGTGTGTGTGTGTGTTGGCACTGGCTTGAACTCTGGTCCTGAGCACTGTCCCTTAGCCTTTGGGGGTTAATTGGAGATAAGAAACTCACAGCCTTACCTGCATGGACTGGTTTTGAACTGCGATCCTCAGATTTCAGCATCCTGACCAGCTAGAATTACAGGTGTGAGCTACTATGCTCAACTTGGCTTTACTTTAATACATGCATATATTTAGGTACTACAAGGGCAGGATCTTTAGGTAGTCTCTAATCAAAGTGGAAGTTTCTATGCTTTTAATTAGAATATGACTATAATAACTACCTCATCCCACAGTGCAATCATATATTTTCCTTGTGCTTTTCAGTTTGTCTAGTTTGGGATATTGTTGATACTTCTTCCTGCCTAGCTTTTGTGAAACCCCAATCTACCCTGCTTTGACGATTCTGTATCACTTTCTCCCTTTCCTCGACTCTCTCTTCCCACTCCCTCTACTCTGTTGGTTTCTCTCATTTAGATCAGGGTTTCACAAACTTTGATGTGGTACAAACTTCTTGGGGTTCTTGTTAAATTGAAGATTCTGATTTAGCACATCTGGTTTAGGGCCTGAGAGTTTCAAACAAACTCCCCTAGTGACAGTAATGTGGCTGGCCTATTAACCCCACTTTGTATAGCAATCCTTTGAAGACGTTTTCCCAAAATCTGGCCTTTTCTTTCACAGTGATTCCATGGCTAGACTGATTACTTTGCAATCTATTTTCTAGTTCAGCCTTCTTTCAGGTATTTCAGAACCTTTATTTCTAACTTCTTAGTGTCCACCTCTATGTGGATACCTTGAAACCCCTTCAAACTCTTTAAAATGTCCAAATCTAAGCTGATCACCTCTCAAAAAGAAGCTTCTTTCCTTTCTCTGACACAGAGAAAGGAAATTATAGTCTCTTAGCATTATCTCCAAACACAAAACTTCTGCTATCCTTGATTTCCCTCTCCTTAATCCAATTAGTCTGTAGTTATGTGGATTGTGCCTCCACACCATCTCTCAACTATGGTCTTTTAAAATCTTCCTGCCTTCCCTTTAGCTGAGTCTTTACTACCTTTTCTATTTCTTTTTTTACCTTTCCTTTTTGAAAATTTTATAAAGGGACTCAGTATTTAGCCACTGGCCTTGAACCTGTATCCTCCTCACACAGCCTCCCAAGTGTGAATCCAGTACTGTACCACTCCACCCAAGTACTTTCACCATTATGTTCTAACTGGCCTAGGTAGGGCTCAGTTTTTCCACCTTTAATTTCTGCATCTCTCCACAGAGAGATCAGTAGTTACAAAGAAAAACCCTTCCCTTTTCCCCCTTCAAAATTTTAAACCAGGATAACTCAAAAGATGGAATTAAATACAAATTCACCTACTTGGCATCTGGGACATTGCCCTTTGCCTTCGCCATTTTTTCAACATACTGTAGAGTACTGCACTTTCTAGAACACATTTTTCATTGGTTTTCATGCAAGTTTCCATGTATTAGCTAAAGAACCCTCCCCAACCTCCTTCAAGGCCAATTCCTAACATCTCTGGGCCCTGACACTCCCCACCCCCAGCCCAGACAGATGCTGAGTGTTTTGACCCTCACAGCACTCCTTGTATTATTCATATGGCACCTACTATGGTTTGTCTCTTATAACTATTTAATCTTTCTCTTATTCCTTACTCTTTTAGGGCAAAGATAACATCTTCAACTCCCCTCTGCAACCCTATAGCATCTTACCCATGGGTGTGTGTCAAAGTGACTTGTGACGATCATGTCACAGTGGAATCAGAATTGGAGCCAGTTCCAGTTCTGGGTTCCAACTCTGCCAATAGCTGTCATTACCTATGAGGTTTTGGGAAAGGGTAAGTCACTGAAATTTGGTTTGCATGACTGCTCCAATATTACCTGATTGATTGGGGGCCAACTGGAAAGCTCGGCTTACAGAGAACGGAGTCATCATTTCCCTCGGCGAGATCGGTTGCAGTCTGGCTACTCCAGTCTTAACTTAGAGCATCCCTGTGCTCTCTAAGGGAGGTCATCCCTGAGTTGCTGGGAACCCTGGCTGCTAGAGTCCCACAATCCCTTCCACTTCCCCGGCCTCCTCACTGGCAGGTGACTGCCTTGCTCGGGGCGTGTGGGGGGGGGGCTTTGCAGCCCTGTTCTCCCCCTTTGAAAGAGCCCTTGTCTTCCCTGTGACCCCCAGGTCCGCCTCGCAGCCGCCTACGGAAAATGTTTGGACCCTGCCCGGCCCCCGTAGCTCCTCTTCTCCAGCAGGTGGTTCTGGTCCTCTCGCTCCTCTACCTCCCCCCACCCCGGGCCCCCTCCCCTCAGGTCGGGGCGCTCACGTCACCTGCCGACCT